TGCGGCGCAGCGCGGAAAAGTGTTTTCAGTTCGCCTGCCGCTTATCTCTGCTGTTTGGACAGAGAGGTTTAAAAAGCTGGATTTTCTGTCCCTGCAGAGTAAACACACAGAACCCGGCGGCACAAACTATTTCTGGCTTATCAGCGGAGGAATGCAGCAGCTGAGGCTGAGCGCAAGTGGGCCGTCAGCAAGGCCCTGAAGGGGCCCCCTCCCCACTCCCGCTATTAGAAGTGTGAGAGCCCAGCAGGACTCAGAGGGGAGAGTTGGAGAAAAAGGCAGAAAAGGGAAAGAAAGAGGAAGAGAAAGAGAGAGAGAGGCTGAGCAGACCCCGATGGCTACAGACGAAGTTACAGGAGGGGCTCGCAAAGCTACGAAAAGCAAACTTTTTGAGTTTCTGGTCCATGGGGTGGTGAGTCGGGAAAGTTAGTGAGCTGGCTGGCTCTAAATAGGGGGATGAGTGGAAACCGAAGGCTCTGCGCGGGGCTGGAGCGGCTCCTGCGGTGTGCTCCTGGGGCACTGGTGACTGCCTTGCCAGGAGACCGCCGGGGTCCGCAAAGCCCCCCCGATGTGCTGGGATTCATTGGTGATAGGGGCTTGTGTCTGGGGGGATGTGTGCTGTGATTTTTGCTGTGGTTCTCCATGAATGGCGAATAGCATGCTTTTGAGCCTGATGGTGGTGCAGGATCTGCACTGGATCTGACCCAAATGGGCTTGTAGGACACTTTGTTCTGTAATCAAACTTGTGTTTTGAAAAACAATTCTGATGAAAGCCTAATGAAGCCGTGTGGTGCTGCCTCTGGTTCTTGTCTCCAGTCTTGGCTCTTGTGTATCCTCTGGCTACTTAACAGGTGACTTTCAGGGGCTTGGAGAGATAAGCTCTGCGGATCCGTAGCAGTCTATGGGAACTCACTCACCAGAGAATTTCAGGGTGCTGCGCTTAATTAAAGCAATCCTTCAGGCCTTTAAAAATTTTCCAGCTTTTGTTTGAGAATCAGGTCTTCGATCTCCATTTAAGGGGAAATGCTAACCCTGTTTTGCTGCCATTGGAAACGATGTTCTTTAAATGACTTGAGTGGCTGACAGCAGTCACCATTTATGACATTTGGATTTCTTGTACTGGTACACATTTGACAAAAATAAGGCTGCTAAAGAGCCTCAGGGAATGCGGGTATTGTTTGGATACTGATAGTCCCGAGTGTTTCCTCTCCTGAGGATTCTGGCACCTCCTGTGACACCTTTTTGAAGGCATCAGGTGGGGGCTCTTGTGCAAAGGTTGTGGAAATCTGTGGAGCTGGCGGCAGGCTCCCAAGTGGTCTCCGTGTTTCAGGCTCACTCCAAGGCATGCAGGATCCAGCATGTGTCCTGCAGGTCCTGGGTACAGTGGGACTTCCAGGGCTGAGGGCTTCTAGGTGGCATTCTGCGTTTGTGAGAACGGCGACCAGGTGACGTGGTGCCAGCGGCCAGGAGCAGTCTGTGGCGAGACTGGCGATGTGCAGGGATGACTGGGGAGGAGGAGGGCAGGGCTATTGCGGTGGAGGTGTTGTGGACACGTGGGTTCACTGGTCTGACTCAGGGTGGCTGTAGCTGCGCAGAACCATCAGTGAGTTGGGAGGGGTGGGCGTAGGGGATGCTTTTGCCTTTTCCAAGGTTTCTGTTGGCATTGGCATACCAGTGGTCTTCCTTTGGTATCAAGAAGAGTGGCAAAAATAGTTGTGTGAATTTTCTTCTTCCGCATCTAGATGGACCTCACGTGAAAGCAGCATGCTCTCCTCCTGAGCATGGGAATTTTAAATTTATACCAGAATGGATATAGCCGAACTCATTTCCATGACTTATTGTATGCTAGAAAAGTCTGCCTTTTCTGTCCTGGGAGTTTTGCCACTAGTGGCATCTTACTTGAATATCTGCATTTGCCTGGAATATCTGCATTTGTTTGTCGTCATCCTGCTCCTTGTTGGTGAGGCTGGGGCTTCTTGTCGGTTATTTGGCTGCCTGGGCACCCCATGAATGACCCTCTCCTTTCCTCTGTGATTATCACCTTTAGTTCTGCTGCTCCTTCCTTGTTTTTTCCTTTGGTTTCTTCCTCATCTTGGGTTCATATTCATCAAAACACAGGTTCAGTCTTCCATTACTTAAAAAAGATTTTAAAAGCTACAACTTCATTTTACCTCTTCAGGTTCTGCACCCTACCAAATAGGAGAATGTGCCATCACAGCTGAGTTTACCTCTGGCTGGCTGCTGAGTTTCGTTACCATCCACAGTGTGTCAGCATCTGAATTCATTCCTTGAAAAATCAAGTTACGTAGCCAACGTTACTGGAATTCGTTGGAGTCAAATTCTGCTCTAATTTTAGGGAAAAATCTCCTTTTTGAATTACTTGCTTTTTATTTTACCTACGATAACATTATTTGATTTGGTTATTGCAGGCTGCTTTCCCACCCCCTCCTTCCCCTCCCCCAAAAAAAGACTGGGGACAGGTAAATAGAGGTAGAATGTTGTGAGAAAATTTTTTGCTATGTGAACACTTAAACAAACAGAATAATTTTGCAGTATGTCCCAAGGGCAGTTAGCTTTTGGATTCACTTGATCTTTCTGGAAACATATGTTCCTTTGCTAAGGTCACTTTGCACTTTGCTCCTGTGCACTTGAGTTTGCCTTTGTTCTTTTCCATGTTGCCAGCTCAGAAGATGTCTTCTTCCTTGTTTGTCCTGGTCAAACGGGATCCCTCTGAAAGGTGAAAAACCTCTTAACGGTTAAAGATCTCAAGTGGGATACTTCATTCTCATCCTGCTTGAGTTCTTGATAGTTTGTTACACCTCTGGTTAGCAGCTCTTCTTTTGAAAAGGTTAGATTTCTTTCAGTTATTTATTTTTACAGTTCTTTTGTTCTGTTTACTCTTGTCATCAGGGTCTCGCGCATTGCTTTTGTGGGAAGGAAGAATTTTATTTTTCCCAAATAGTTCATCCTTTATTCTTTTTTTTTTGTTTTTTGTTTGTTACTCTGTGCTCTATTTCTAGCACTTTTATGGATAAATATGGCTTTAATCACCACATTTACATTGATTTATCTCTTTATTGATGTAGTAGTACGTTTCAGACTGTCTTTATGACATCTCTGTCTGGGTGTCCAGCTGTTGCCTTAAATTTTGTTGACCCAAACCAAGTTATTAAACTTTCTGCAGGCTGTTCCTTTTCTCAGTTTCTTCTGTCCTCTGGACCCTGCCATCGGCCTCCCTGCTGGCTGGCTCCCTTCAATGGATGTTACCTTTGTCTCTCCCCCCCTTTTTTTTTCTCTCTTTTTTTTTGTTTTCTTTTTCTTACTCAGAGAGATCTCTTCCCATATGGCCTTGAGAAGGTCCATGGTGCAGATCTTGTCACAACTCTTGTCCAGACGTCTGTCCCTTTGTGACTGAGTTGCGGCAATCTTCTCCCCTCTGGTCCCTTGTGCTGTCAACCTTGCCTGTGTCATCATCACACAAGAAGCTGCTGAGAGGTTCATTTCTGTGTCCTGTTGTTCTGACCTCTTTCATCTGCTTCTGTGTCCTTTTCTGTTCCCACTTTATCTTCCTTCCAAAACCAATCTTCTTGCCTTTTGTACACAAGATACACCTATAAAGCTCTGTGTCCTTTTCTTAACTATCAAGTCATATTTGTATTTGCAATATACTCGCTGTCAGTTCAAATCCCCTTCTTTTTCCCATAGTGATCTTGTTCTTTGTCCTCTGTGCTGTGCTTAGGAAGCTCTTCCTGTCAATTTAAGTCCTTGTCCATATTTATTTTCTGCTAGTGTGTGTTTTTTCGTAGTTCCTGCTAATCTCTGTAGTTTAATGTTAGTTACATATCAAGGCTGCTAATTTATACAGACCTCTGTATCAGTTGTGTGACTGCTTTGCTTATCCCCAGTCTCCTTTTGGTCTGTTTATCTCTCAAATCCAGTCACAGAATTTTGTGGTAGGTACAGAAACCCTGTTAACATGCAACAGCATTTAGTACAGTGAGAGAAGAGTCTCAAAGCATGCCATCATGTGAACAAATATTTAATATAGTGGTAAATAACTCGTTGCCCACGTTAAAAGAGACAAAAACCAGGTCTGGTGCCCCCAAGGTGTGTATGAAGTGTCTAATAGATTTATCAATGATCTGCAAAAGGGGATGAGTGATGAATTTCGTAAACAAATTTTGCATCTCCTCATATGTTGCTGGGTTTTGAATGAACCGTAACCCTTCAGGACGAAGGCTGGGATGTCCCCATGAGCTGCCTAGAGAATAATGCAGAAGCAGTTGTAAATCCGTGGCGTATACTTCCCAGAATATTTTTGTGATTTCGGTCATCTGCGTGACGAACCAGCAAAAAGGGGGGTAACTAGAGGGAAGCAGTAGTGGGAGGCCTGTGAAGACGTCATCAATAAGAGAATGGGATTTACTGATTTATTTATCCACCCGAGGATGGAGAGTGATTAGGAAAGTTGTAAAATATCTGTCACTGGGGGCTCTTAGGCACTGGTTAAAGAAGTAAACATCTATCAAAGACGGTGGAGATACTGGTGATAACTTTGAGATGAGGAAAGACTGGATGACCTCAAGGACTCATACTTCAGTGTGTTATAAAAGCTGCATTTGCTTTATTAGAATGGGGAGAACTAAAGATATTCTCCCCAAATGGAATGGTGATCTGTTTTAAATGGATAAAAGTCATTGTCTCTTCCAGCCAGTCATCAGTTTGTAGAGATCACTACTAGTAGTAGTGAGGTGAGGAGAATGTTTGAAAGTAGAAAAAAGTAGAACTTTACTACTGAATGGAACTAGTTAGAACTTTGCTAATGAAAAACATCCCACTAATTTTTATATTATCATGGATGTGAATACTATCTGGTCAGAGCATAAATCACCCAACACTAGAGAGGCTGGGAAAGAGGCTCATGAGTTTTGGACAGTTTGTTCCGCTTCCGTAGGACAGGGCTGTCTGCAGGGTTCTCTGTGCTGGGACGTGGCCGGGGAACAGGTCCTGGAAGGGAGTCACTGGTTTGCTGCGTATGTGTTCCCTGTTTTATTGCAGAAGGAGATGTTGGGGGTGAGTGTAGGGCAGCCTGGAGAAATCACAGGACCTCACCGCAGTGAAGAAATCTGATGGGGAGGGTGCTTGCAGAAGGCTGGCAGACTGAAAACATGGTACGGCGTTCACCCGTGCAGGCAGGCTGCCAGTAGGAACTGAAGGTTTGTCCTTTCCTAGCACTGGACTAATTGCAGGCTAACAAATACAGAAAAGTTCACACATAATGGAGAAAAGAAAAGCCTATAAATTCCAGTTGGGCTTTAGTAGAGGTCAGTGTGATTGTATGCAGCATGGGCTTGTTGAACAAATCTGAGTTGCTCATTGGGAAAACTTGGATTTGCTGATGAATATAGGTGC